GGGGGGCATGTAGGTCGGAGCAGCAACCTGCTCATGTGTAAACGGGCACCTTCCTCTCCCCCAGGACCACCCACTGCAGTGTGGCTGTGGGGGCTGCCTGCCCTTTCCCCGGGGGGGGGTGGAGAGAGCTGGCGGGGTGCAGGGAGGCTGCATACCACACCCGGCCTTCCCACGCTCCGAGGGGGTGTTTCCTGCCCCAAGGCCAGTGGCGGTCGAGAGCTGCGTGTGCTGTGATGGTGTGGTGTGTGACAACCCCGCTGCAGCGCTCTGAGGGTGGGCGGCTGGGAAACATGACTGTGGCCCTGGGCTGCCTGCCCCCCTTCACCCCACTGTCCTGCAGGGCTTTTTGGGGGGACCAGCTGCAGCCCTCTGCTGGGCCAGGCTGGACTAAGCAGAGTACAGTGGGATGTTTTCCAGGCCGGAGCCGAGGAGGAAGGGAGTGGTGATCTGTGGAGAGCTCCTTGCTGGTCAGCATGGACTCCCCTTCCCTGTGGCTGAGGGCTTCAGCCATCGTCTGCCCCTGGGGTGCCAAGCTCTGACTGTGCCCCAAGGACTCAGGGCTCCAGCCTGCTGAACCATGTGTATTTTTTGAGGGTTGTGGGTTGATCTTAGAAAAACAGTAGTGTGAGAGCTGTTTGTTTTTTTTTTTTTTCTTGGTCCAGAAGGTACAGTCTGGTGAGTTCTCAGCTGTCTGACCTTCAAGAAATTGATAGAAATCAAGAAAAGTAAACTGGGACTGCTTGTCCTTGGGCAGTTCCTCTTTGCTGGGAAGACCCTCTCTGATTCATTCTGCTGGCTTCACCCAACCTTGTTTCTTACTCACACCTCACTTCTTTTTATTTTATCTGATCTCAGACTCTTGCCTGAGTCTTCTCACCCAAATCCATCTTTGCTTCCTCTGTCTTCAAGCTGGATGGTACTTTATTCTGTGCTGGTGGAGTGAAAATTCCTGGAGTCCTGAAACCAGAGGAGAAATAACCTACCCCGTTTCACTTGTAGTGTGTGGCAGCCTATTGTGGGGACCATTCAGCTCTCTCTCTGGAGTGAATGCAATGGAGAGAAAGCTGAAAACTTTGGCTACTAAGCAAGTCTGGCAGGCATCTGTAAGTTCAGGCTTTTCGAGGGTTCAACACATCTGCCCAGACATACGTGTTTTTTCGAAGGAAGAGCAAAAAGTCCACGAGTGACACCAGCCTCTGTGCTAAACTTCATGTCCCTGTTTCTGAAATGTGAAGTTAAGAGTCTTTTCATAAAAGTCTTAAGAATTCCTTGAATACAGTTAAAGCAGCATATGTACCCCACAGTCATTCATAGAAATGACTGAGTCATTTTTGTTCTGAGTTTCCTAAAAATCATCTGGAGTCACAGTATATGTAATCATACTCCAAATAAAAGTTTTTGGTAAACTTAGAGTAACTAAAAATGTGCCCTTAAAATAGGAAGTGTTGACGACCCATAACCAACAAAGTGCATTGATGGTGATATGACAAAACATAGTACCTACTAAATTAACTACTACTAAGTACCTACAGCATTAACTAAAGCTAGAAAATGCTAGAATTTATTTTGTCCCTGCAGTTGTAGTTCTGCTCTTTTTTTCTGGGTGGTTGCTTGGCAAGAACAGAAAGTTATCATAAACGCTGTATCTGAGTGCATGCACATGAAGAAAAGCTGAGGTTTTGTTAATCACTGATGTGTAAGTGCTTGGCTGTGTGCCTTCAGCACAGAGTTAGTGTGTTGTGATTTGTCAGATTTGTTTTTCCGCTCGTTTCTTTAGTACCAAACTTGTTTTATTATTGCTTCAGAAGGGCACAAACCTGTCATTGTGAGGAATACAATGGAGACTTTTAGTAACTAAGCTAAAGAAGTAGTAGCTATTAAATTATACAGCTTCTGCTCTCCCAGGCATTAGACCAACAGAAACTGAAAGTTGGTCCTGCTTCTGAATTGTATGTATGAAACCAGAAGTCGATAAGTATTTCTTGAAAGAATTGTAGCTGGTTCCTACATTGACTTCTGGTTTTGTCTAGATGGAATAGCATACCTTAATTTTCCCCACTCATTTGGAGTGTTTTGACAGGTCTTTACCAATACTGTACCTCTTCTGCTATGTAGGGTAACACTGTTGGTAGAGTCTGTAAAACAACCCAGCATAGGTTTTGTTCAATGCATTTACGAAAAGCAAATTTCAGTCTGTCAAGTCCTGAACGATAGGAGGATCATGTATACAGTATTTCCCAATTGGTTGCAGTAAAGTAGTTAAAATAAACCTCTGGGAATTGCATTTTGAGGAAAAAGGCTGTTGCAGACAGCTAAGTACTACCAATGAGAAGGCAAGGGAATCCCCTGTTTCTGTTTCCCTGTTGACCCACTAAATAAATCAGTATGTTACATCAAATGTTGTCTAAGTACAGAGATGTTTACTTTTATGTAATTCAGGGTAAATACTTGGTGTATGCCTGTGAATTTATCAATCTGTTTCCTAAAATATATTCTTCTTACAGAAACAAGTAATCAGTGGTGTGTTAATTCTATCCCATTCTTACATGTTATGAATTCAAGCAGGGAAAACTCAATAAAGGTAATATCTCAGTTTTCTTCTGACTGCTTATTTAAAGTTGTTTTCAGTTCACCTTTCAGTAACAAGTAAGATGAGATGGATTGGCAAGAAGCCCAGCTACAGAGCTTAAATAGAGGTTTGTTGAAACTTAAATCCTCTGTGTGTGTGTGTTCAGCCTAAAAGATCATCCCTGATTTCAGTGGCTATGATGTCAGTGGGGAAACCCTGCTGCACTTCTGTTTGTCTTCATGTGAAGGTCTAAGAACGTCAAATAAAAGCAAAGCAACTGCTGAGAAAAGTTTAAGGCTTCAGTATAGAAACTAACCACAGGTTCTTAGTGGCTCCTAAGCAAGACTGTTATTTTATCAGCTTCTGATTGTATAGGGACTTGGGTCACTATTGTTTTAGCTTAGATTGTTTTGTTTATTCAACTACTTACTAAGGTTTTGTTGAGAATCAGGGGATGATCTTGTATTTGTTAAGTAATGGATGCCACTAACACCAATGTTTTAAGATTACTTTTTATCTGAAATAATTTGATAGAGGATTAACCAGGGCGCACCCAGCAGAAGTTTGATTTGTGTTAAATTTTGGTGCTGTTGTGCACTTTTTCAAGGCTTTCCCTGACACCATGTCAAATTATTTTTCCACATCCAATAATTCTTTACAACGTTTCTGAGAGGTTTTCTAAAATACCTGATTTAACAAATGAAAAATCTAAGACATGGAGATTAACTGTTTACGCAGGGTCAGACAGATTTTGTGGCTAATAACAGAAACTGAAGCCAAGTTCCCTGAATGTGCTAGATGGTGTTGTTTGACCCTCTTTCTTTAGAGTCATGTTGTCCATGCTTGCAGTGGGGATTTCCAGTGCATACCAATTACTGTATCTGGCTAAAGACTGTTGTAACCATCTCTAGAGGCTATAACTGAAACCAACTGCTGATTTTTAAGCCACTACAATATGTTATAGCCCGCTATTCTTTCCTGTTGCTTTTTTATAACCTTGCAGATTAAACTTTTCCTTTCAGACCTTGATTACCTTCTGAAGAACAAAAAATAATTGTAATTTTTTTTTCTGTATTTTTGGTTCTCCACAAAAAAAAAAAATCTTGCTAAGAATTTTAGGACAACATGCAGTGCCACAGGGCTGTCAGATCCAAGTTAACACCTTAATAAGTGCTGATGGGTAAGTTGTTATATTTTACCATTGTAGGGATGGGCAAAGTTGGTTAAGGGGCAATCCCAAGAATTCCTGATAGTAGAATTGTAAAAAAAGTGATATAGCTTCTGAGGAGTTAGTACTAGTTTCTACAGAAAATGAATGGATTCTATGTCTATGTCCTTTAAAAAAAAAAAAAAAAAGGGAAAAATACTGGTGTTCTAACTGTCCCAATTGTAGGTGGCTTTTTATGTAGTCTTGATAGAGTTTCTTGATTAGATAATCTGCTAGATGCTTTTTCTGCACTGAACAGTTGCTGCACCATCTAACCAGAGTTTCTATGTGGAAGATAAACGTAGTTCTGAAGTGACTGAGTAAATCTTTGCAGAAGTATCACGTCCACTGTTATGAAAAATTGGATATCCCATGATAGCATTTCAGCATAGGAGGCTCCACGCTTAAGGTCGTGTGTTGAAGCCACAAAGGCCTTGGGTATCACGAAATCATGTTGAACTGCATGAACTGGAGAGGCTCTGTTGCTCAGTGAAACACAAATCCTGAAGATGTCTGTAAAGTACTCCAAGAGTGAGCCGTACAGGACCTTGGTGTTGCCATAGGCTTGCCTCCAACTCAAGACCACAATATCAGACTTTTTTGTTATCGTGCGTTTAACAGATTGACTGTTAAAAATTATTCTTGACTTTGGTAGAAGCCAAACTTTTTTTTAATTTATTTATTTATGAAAGGGTTGTAGCTACTTAGTGGAGTCAGTTGAATTCTGAATGTTATGTATGTGAACTGGTATATTGTTACATTTTTCTGAATGATTGGTGGAGTTTACAGCAAGTTGCTGAGAGCTGTCTCCCTAACAATACTTAAATGAATGTGATGTTTGCAGGGCTGTGTATTTTTATCACTCAGACAAAATTCCAGTCAACCCAAGTGGAAGCTTTGCCTGTAAGAGAGGTATGTGATTGGGTTCTTGACTAAACTGTACTGTACTGCTATGAATGTATTATTGCGTGGCCTCAAATTTAATAAACTTATTCCTGTAATCAAAGCTTGTGCAGTGAGCAAGCACAATGAGCATGCCTCCAGGGCCCAAGGATGTGCTATTGCTTCATGACTTACTTAAAGACCCTCAAATAAAGGTGGAAGAACAACTCTGGGGAGGTTGACATACCCCTTTTTGCCAGCTTTAGGAGTGTGAATCTTCCTAGATTTCCTGAATAAAGCTGTTGATCAGTCCCTGCTTCTTGAACACGTTATGAGCAAAGACGGAGATGCTCTTGGGAAGGAAGCCACAGAGATTTCTGGCTCCCTTCCATCTTATTGAGCCAGAAGAGGGATTTCTAAAGACACCAAACTTCTCTTCATAAAGCACTGCTATGCATGCTACATTAGAAAGCTCTGGGTTGCAAGACAGCCACTATCTTCTGCAAAAGTTGAAAGACTTGTGGGTTAGAGCATTATGAAGGGGAGGATACTGCAAAAAAGAGAACTGGACAGGACTGCTAGAGTATAGAGTGGCTATGGTCGCTATTTAAGCGGAGCGGGGGAAAAAAGCCAACACTTGAGTCTGTTAAGCAATAGCTATTTTGCTGTTTATTGTTTTCATAAACCATAATCAGTTTGTGTTCTATCACTTTAGGAGGTTCTTGCCACCACCTTCGTCCCTGGCACACCTGAGTCCTCCTTCCCTGACTGGAGATTTCGGCTTCATCAGTTGTGGTGAATCAACTGCCTGTATATAACTAAGGAGCCAAACACTGTTAAAGGGAGCAAAACTAACTTACCCCTGGTTTTTTGTTATTTTTAAATTAATTACAAGGATGTTTGAGGCAGGGTTGTTGACCACACAAATATAGGTTGTTCATAATACATATAGTCTGGGAGAAACTGTAATTGCTGTACTAAAAATAATTTATTCTGTGGTTCCATTCAGCTATATATTTAATTTTGTTTTTCCATTCTCTTTCTAGGGGCACTAGTAAACCTTCTTCCAAGCAGAGATAGTAATGATGAGACAGTAATTATCTGAGTAAATTATCTATGCAGCTTTCTTTCTTTTTTTTTTTTTTTTTTTTTCTGGTGTCTTCTGGCATTGGAACAGAAGTATATGTTAGTCCTAGGCTATGTAAATGAAAAGTTCTGTCTACATTACAATTAAAAACATGTCAGGTCACATGGTTTCCACTTGACCAGTTACAGCAGTGCTGTTTTGCAAATAAGCTTTTTAATTGTGTTGCAAGTGTGAAGTCCTGAACTGACCAAGTCTGTAGTAACTGGGTCACCTGCCACAGAGCTTTTTGTGATGTAGGTCATAAGAATATTTGCAGAAGCAGAAGTGCTGTAATTGCATAGCTATACCAGTATTTCTGTTGACATTGAAGCTTAAAGATGCATATTCAGGAAGCAGAAACAATACTAGGTGTAACTAAAAAATAATATAAATAATAGTTTTTTGAAAATCCAGCAAGTAAATGCCATGGTTTTTTTGAGGAAACATTATAATTATTTCAGGTTTACTTCTTAATGGGCTTTTTGGACCCTGAGAGCTGCTCACTGTTGGAGAAAGAATTAGTACCACATCAGAGCTCAGAGACCCCAGAAAGAATTCAGTGTACCACTGGATGAATCACTGTAAAACAAAAGAACAGTTCTTGGCCTGCAGAGTTGATTGGTAAGTATATGATAGGATAAACAAAATACGTACTTGTGAAATAGAGAGACTGTGTAACAGTATGTTGATAGCATCACATGTAGTTGCCTAAATGTGTAAGACATTATTAGGTTGACCGTGGGGTTGCCATGCAGCCAAGGAGCTTTAGTCTTGGCCACCCACCCTGTCACGCTGTGGAGGCAGGATGATAAATCCCCCCAAATTGCCCCAGAGCCCTAGCAGCCTAAAAATAGAGTAAGAGGACAGGCAAAGACGGTGAAACAGGGTAGTGCCAGCAATTTATGAGATGGCATCTGTCAGTAAGCTGATGGCTATCTGTAAAGAAAGTTAGAATTAAAGCTTTTCTCGCAACATGACCTTCCTCCCGGGACTGATAGTCTCACTTGAAAGACTTGGAGCAGTAAAAGTATCTGGAAGTGAATTAGGTCTCGGTACCAATTTCTGAATAGCTGCAAACAGTCTTTCTTCAGACTGTTTATAGGTAGGTGGGAACCATAATGAATATTATCTAACTATATTAGTCAGACGTACTTTAGGTCAGTCTCTCTGCTGTTACTGTGTTTGAGTCTCCTGGAATCAGCCAACTACAAAATTCACTTCTTACTGGACTACACAGCATCTATGCCACTGGGAACAGATTTGATAGCTCACTTAATGAACTATGAGTCTCTAGTATCTCAAAAGCTTTGAAATGGTATTAAATCTGAATCAGTTTATTGTGTTTTGCCTTTACAGGATAAGAGAAGGTGGTAAGAAAAACTAAAGCAGCAGTGTTAATTTTTAAAAAAGTAACAACCTTTTTAAAGTGGATCTATACATTTGGCTTTTTTGTCTTGATTTTTTTTTTTTTTTTTTTTAAAGCAAGTGATTATATAGATTCCCAAAAATACCTTGCAAATTCAAATGGGAACTTCAGTCTCGGTTTATTTTCAGTTATGCAGATGATTATTTCTGCAGGCTTCCTTTAAACAGAAACTCCTGGAAAAGACAGAATCTGCTATCTTTGACTACTTTTCTTGGAGATGAGAGCTCGAGATACCACAGAGACCAAAGCTTTCTGCTTGATGCATTAAAATCTTTACCTCCTTGTGCAGGAAGAAGTGTAAAACCACACAAGTATGACAAGCAGTTAGAAGCAGATGTAGTAAGATTTACTAGGAAGGCAATAGTTTGCATGTCGTCTCAGGAAATCATTGTAATGACCACGAGGGGGCATTTTATTAAGACACCGCAAACCCAACTATTACTCATGATCGCTGAGGGAGTGGCATCAAGGCCCTTAAAGGACAAACTGTTGTGATGGCCAGGAGTGAGGCCAGTAGAAGAGTAATCTGGCACTTTATTCCAAATCTTAGTTCCTACTCTTTTGATATTGGAGTCTGTAATGCTTACCTCCTAATGGATGGGGGTAGTTCAAAATTTTAGCAAGCAGTTACCTGTCTCAGCCTTTGTCTAACAGATAATTCAACAGATTGATTTTCAGCACTGCTGTCTTGGCTTGCACCCCAGGGTCTAACTGGAGACTAATCCAAAGTGGAGATAGGGCATTGGTGGCTTTATTACATGTAATTTGTCTTTTCTACACTGCTTGTTAAGGAACCTTAAGCAGGTTGGGGCTTTTTATATTTAATTTTTATATATGACCTTGCCCTTCTAGCCAACTCTAGGCCTTGTTCTAATTAATCTTTCTTGCCACTGGCTTGTTTGTCATCTCTTTCTTGGGTTAGGCCTTCTCTTTCCTCTGGTTCTTGTATTTACTTGCCAGAAGCAGCTTGTGGTGGCAATTCTCCCTTCATGTCTGTTTTGTTTCCATTCAACAGGCAGTGTGTCTAGATCTGTTTTTTCCTCTGCGCAGGGCAAAGAATCCATTTAGTTCCTCTCTCGATGTGTATTGTGCAACAGATGTCTTGAAGTACTATTTTTCCTGGCTTACTGTTCCTTTTAGTCAAAAATAAAAGTGAGAAGATTGATATGTATATTCTTTACTCACATAAAGTACTTTTTCTAAGCATCTGAAAAATATTCTGAGTCTCATGGTGGTTAACACATTTACTGTATATAAGGCATAATATTTCAGACTGAAAACCCAGAGGATGTTCAGATTTTACCTGTTTTCTGCAATAATAAAGTTCATCAATGGATTTGCTGTGCAGATGAATGACTGTATCAAATGTATTGTTATATGAGAGGTTTAATCCACTACACTGATTACAAAAAAGATGTTGAACTTTCCCCAAATGTCCTAAAAGCAAAATTGACAAGTCATGTAGCAACTGCATAATGAGCAAGACTATGGAATAGCAAAACCCATCACTGTTCTTTGTGAGAAAGCAAGGGGATTTAGCCTTACAGTTAAGAAAGCTCAGACTAATAATTGTAGCCTTATTAGTCTATTGGCCTGTTAAGTAAACTTAAATTATTACTGTAGAATACAAGTAAATTGGATGTATAGGACACACAAAGTCCAGACACTGTGGAGATTAACTGTGCAAGTGGGGTGAAGCAGTGGTGTTGATTGTGGCTTCCTCACAACTATTGACAGTAAGGCTTTGCCTGGTGAGGTGACACTGTGACACACAGCCCTGGGCAATTTGTCAAAAGGCTGATGCTCCTCCAGATAAGACAGGTAGCTGCCCGATTTACAAATTGCAGATATGCTTTTCGTACATAGGAGGACTTTAGGCATAAACTGGTCCCAGAAGGTGTTAAGTATTTTTGTTGAGCCTGAAGAGTGGTGTCACTTTCTGTGATTCCCGGGTGGAATCCTTTAACTGTACCAGTCAGAACTACATGAATCATTGGGTTAGAGATTTAAAAGTAAGGTGTAAGACTTGAAATTAAAAGGAGATATATTTGGCAGGGCTGTACAGAAACAATGTTCCTTTTATCTCTTTATTATGGACTGCACATTTGGTCTTTTGAGGCTCTTGGAGCTCAAGGTGATGTTAAGTAGCCTAAACACCTCGGGAGCCCCAAGGTGGGAGGGAAAGGGAAGTCTTGTAATAAAAACCTGGATGAGCAATTGTTCTCCTCTGTAGGTGGATCCAGTGCATAATGGCTGGCTGGTATGTGCTGGGGTTTTGGGGAGCAGGAGAATTAATATGAGCATACATTGCTTGTTTTTTTTTCTGTATGTAGTTTTCATGTTACAACAAAGGTACTCTAATAGCATGCTTTTGCCAAAGGGATGATTCCCATCTTTCTGTCTACATCTCTGTTTTTTTTGTGGCTGCAGCTAAAGTGATTCCATTGCTTCCGTTTGTACCAGCAATAGTGATCAAGCTTCTTAGAGCTATTGTATCTAAAAAAATCATTCTGGGCAAAAAAAGGTTGTTTTCTACTGATTTGGCTCCTTATGCTCAGCCTGAGTTCATCTCTTCCCTAAGTCTTCTTACTGTAGCACTACAGTGTCAGATGAATCTTGGTTGTGGTGTAAGGAAGTTTGCAGTTTGTCCATTTCAGAGGTCCTACAGAGGAGCTTCACTGTAATAAGAGGATTTTATGCAGCACAGTGGAAAAAGAAAACCCTCAATTTTTTTCTTTGCCTGCCAACAAACATGAAAGACTTTTCTCTATTAAAATAATGCAGCAACTCCCAAACTGTGGTATGCGTTCATAGCGCTGGGATGAGGAGAAAAGAAGAGGAAACACCTGAGAGGACTGGAGGGAAAGGTGCCTGGGAACTGCTCTGAAAATTAACTCTGGGAAGGAAGGAAGGAAGGGCTGTGAATTAGAAATTTCAGGCAGATTTGTCCACTTCTCAGACTAAAAACAGTGTTATGCTATAGTTCCACAAAGCTGGCACCTCTGCCCAAATCAGAAACTTGTTCTGGCCTTGGTGTCACCACATTCCTTGCTGCTGGTACAGTAATTTCTGTGACTGTACATGGAACTGTCTCAATAAAAACTAAACCAACAGAAAAAGAATCTTTTTGTTTCCCCCAGGTTACTTCTAAGCAAGCTCCCTTATGGCCAAAGGAGTGCTTGCAGTGGCATAAGAACACACATGAATGAGTTGCCTGGAGGTAAGAGAGAAAGAGGGGCGACTGCCTTTTTCTGACACTACCACAGTCAAGTGTTCATGGAACTACCCTTTTACTGTGCTCGGCACTTTCATATAATAAGCGGTTCATCCCCTGAAGAAGTTGCATCTTGAATGAATAAAGTAGAAGTGCAGCGGGCGGAGGAAGCAAGCAGCTGATTCAATGTGAATGATAGAGCAAGCTTCAACTTTATTGAAAGAAATCACACCTTATATAAGCACTCTACAATAATCATGCATACTACTCACAAATCTATTGGACACATGTAAAAGGCTACAATATAATATCCCAGCCCCTCGTGGCATTTCAGGCATGTCACAACATCTTCCTTCTGGACTGCTCTCTTTCCCAAGGCAGTTCCTTTATCATATACAAGGCCCCCAATTTCTCTCTTTGTTAACATAACAGTCCTTTGTTAGCATAACTGTACCCTGGGTTTTTTCCTTTGTTTACCTCAGATGGCTGCAGTCAGCTTCTGCAGGGAGCTATGGCCTTGCTCTCTGCAAGCCATTCTCCAACATAGAAGTGTGGGAGCAAGGAAGTATCTTCTCTGATTCCTGTTGGGGAAATTGAGGCTCAGAATAAACGACTTGCCCAAGAGTAGAAAGGCTGACTTGCCAAGAGCCAAATTCCAGTCTCCTGAATCATAGCCTTGTGCCTTATCCACAAGACCAGCCTTTCTCCCTTACCATTTCCTTTCTCTCCACCCTGTTTTGAGAGGAGCCACGGTAGCATTGTTCTGTGTCAAACTCAAAGCATGATACAGGAATTCTGTCAGCAGAATGCTTGAATGACCTTTGAGTTTATCACTAGTCTGGAAGCCATGACTTTTCTCGGAATGATTTCTACTCTAGAACCTTCCTCGGGACCAATAACCACAAAAGCTTTAACCATCGAAAGGCCTGCCAGTGTTTATCTAGGAGGCCTTTGAGATTAAAAAAATGTACTTCAAACAAC